GTGGTTGTCAGTCATGGTTGTCAATGGTGAATGCAGATTGGAGAATTGCAGTTAAGAGAAAAAGCACCGATTAATAGCCAATCACAGACGACCTCCCAAATTGCTTTTCAATGTTGACACCCTAATGCTGATTGCAGCGCGCGCGTCGGCAGGACGACACTTCAATATGACCAATAAAATCGCTGGATGGTGTCATTGGTCATCAGCGCTCGCGCGCTCGCAGTTATGAATTTGATCCGAGCACCACATAGGCCAGTGGAATAGGTAAAATGACCACCGCGAGGAGTCGCCTGAACAACTTCGACGACATCCAGGAGGTCATTTGTGGTCATACAACGGTGCGCGGCGATAGGGCGGGGGTAAGCGCATAGCAGCATGCAAACATGGATAACGTTAGGACGACAGATGCCACACGCAGCAAGTTTGGCTTCCGCACTAGCAATCCATCTCAGCGTCCATGGGCGATGAATCGACGTTCATGCCTCCGTAGGACCGCGCCATGCGCTTCTTCTTAGCGGGCGCCGGCCATGGGGGGGTCTTGGCTGCTGGCCTCTACACGGTCGCCGCCGGCGCCATCGCGAATGCTTCGCGCTGCATGATTGGTCGGCAATTCCAGTCTGCGAACTGACAATCTGCCTTCGAATAATCTGCACGAGAACTTTTGCACGAACTCTGAAGCCGTTTGCAGATAGGAAAACGAGCAAAAAATAATCCGCATTTCGATCAATCATATCGCTCGAAGGCAAAAAAGATCCTGCACTCGCAAATCTGCCATCATTATTGACAATCACTATTGAACTACTAGTAGAATAAAAGCACTTTCCAAGCCCGTCTAGGGCATGTCCATTTGAATTGGACCTTTCTCGACAAAGTACCCCACAAAATTTCATTCCAATTGAAGAAGATTGCAAAAAACTTCACCGCAGCACCACGGTCGCCCATTGCCAAGGTCCCGACCAAAATTGGCGAGAAAACAAATTTGAATTATTTTTTTGGTTACAAGAATGAAAAAAACGCGCTCGGTGGACTCATTGATGGGCATTGAGTGGCGATTTTCTGAAGATTTTTCGAAAATGGTTTTTAGCTTTATAAACCGCGGCTCGAAATACGTTTTTTCATGTTCTTAAGCAAAGTATCACAGTGATAGGAATAAATTTTATTTCATTTTTGTTGTCCCTTACACGACACAGTGTTGGCTTGAAAACGAAAAGCCTCTGTGAGGCGAAATAAGTCGCAAATTTAAACGTGATAAAATGAAAGAACTGAAGGTTTTGCATGCGCAATATATATATATATATATATATATATATATATGAACGTGTTCCGCGTTATCTTCATTATGACACAAAGACTTCGCATACGTAGCGCTACGCCTGAATGCGTGGGATTGCGCAATATTACAATATTTATATTGCTATAATATCGCCTCTATGACATGGTACGAATGTTTCGAAAAAACATTTTAAATGGGCTTGTGAATCAATTTTTGGCGTGTACTACATAGGTGAATAAAGTTCAAGAAACCCAAAAAATGAACACAAAATGCATCTAAAATTCGTTCCGAATAGTCATAATGTGAAAGCCATTTCGAGACTGCGATACGTCAAGAGAAAAATCGATGCTGAAATAAAAGGGATAAAAATTGGAGCACCAGTAGCTCTCTGAAGAGTTCATACATGAGAGTAATCAATCAAAAAATATTGTTGCCTACTATAAAGCGAAAAAAATGTTGTATACAAGGGAATGCCGCAGAAATGCAAGGTACAACTAGCATACCTGCA